TCTCTCCATGCCAGGCATCGATTGAGCGGCGCCATCACTGGCTGCGCCTGAGCGCTGTCCCACGCTGTCGTTTTGCGTCGGTGTGCCGGATGAGATGACGATTGGTTCTTCTGATTGCGCAGGTGCATTTGCGGGTGCTTGTGATGAAGCTGGTGCATTCACCGTTGATTGCTGGCGGGCGGAGTCACGTTCCGCCGTGAGTGTCGCGATTTCGAGTGCCGAATCTTCGAGTTGACGCACGAGACGGTCGAGCTGCTCCTGCGTCAATGTCGCAAGATTAATGTCGGCCATGGCGGGGGTGTCGGGCAAACTCAGCGGGAGCCTCTGTCGTGGCCGTGCGTGCTTACGAGAGAGCACTTCGAGCGGCGGTGCTTGTTCGCTGAGAGACGTCTACCCCCCCCAAAAATTGAGATAGTGGGGAAGCGAAGGTGTGGGTGCGGTCCGAGAAGAGATCGTAGGCTCTGAATACCAAGTGTTACGAGTGCAATTGAATGAACGAGCGAGAATTGCACTATCGAAGCAAGGGTACAATGAGCGAAGGCATGAGCGAATAATATATAGCGAAACTACAGTGGTAACGGTAATGTGTGAAAAGTGGGGTGCGCAACGGGCCTAGTGCCGAGGTTGGGAGATGTCGAGGCAGAGGTCCGGAGCGCGGGTTACCAACCGAACCGTGAGGCTGGGTCGCGTCGTGAACGGTGGCGGGAATGGTGTCGAAGCGAGTGTCGCGAGTGGTAACGGATTACTGTTGGGTGCTGCTGGCGGGAACAGTGGTGTACGCGCTGAGCAGGGACGCGAAGTAAGGAAAAGGGATTTTCCTTACACTCCCCCACAGGACTGGAGCAGCCCCAAAACCGAAAAACGGACATAAATGGAAATTATTAATATTGACATGTAATAATGATGTGATTTGTTGTGTAAATTTTCATCAAGTGTACCCATTTTTTGTTCTTGCATCAAATCTTCAGCAGCCATTTCTCGAGAAAAGCGTTCTTTTTTTGCACTCCATCCCCTCCTGAAATTTTGGTAGTATAATTCAAGTATGATTACTTAAGCTAACTATAAAGGTTCACTCTTATCAAGCAAGTCGTAGTTCCCTATACAGCACCATTGAAACGACGGAGTCAGCATTTCAACATCTGGTCAAACCGTCAAAGGCGTTACGTCAACCTACAGTGAAGGAAGCTGAGTTGCCGTTCCCATGCCAACTCCTGTAAAACCTGCTTGCGGTTCGGGGAGCGTCCTTCTCACTGTTGTTTCACAATACCTTTGAAATTGTAGTTACTGTGTGAATGTACACTTTGCTCTTGTCGTCGTGACTCCTCCTGACCTGACCCATTCTGACTGTAGCTGCATTTCCTAGTCGCGGGTTGCTGCCGTCCCTCCAGTACCCATCCTTGACCTCAGTTCACCTGTTCCTCCTCCCTCCCACCCCCACTGGGTGGTGTGTGTGGTCTGTGTGGTGATGATCTGGGAGGGCGGTGGAGGGCGGGTGGGAGGGAAAAGGGCGACACGGCGCCACTGCCCGAAGTGAAGCGACTTGCGTTGATGCATAGGGGCAGTTCTCTTCTTTCCCTCTTTTGAAGCCTGATGACCACAGCGGGTTGTCAGGTCAGGGACTCTCAGGAGGAATGCCAGCCACATGCGGCGGTCCCTCCGCTGGATGTTGAACTGCACTGTACGCGCGCAATCTTTTCGTCTCGGGCAAAAACTGGAATGCAATGTGTTCTCGCTTGTTCGAATCCGACTGTACAACCTGCAGACCAGGGAGAAGGAAAAACGTTTTTCCGTCGGTGGAGCGGCGAAACCGAGCTGGTCGTTGGTGGGGATTCACGAACACCTGGAGTTCGGAACGTCGAACCGAGACGTAACCAACCAAAGAGAAACTGACACGAGAAATGCGTTGATCTGCTACACCACACTTCTCCATCCCCTTCCCCCTTGCCCCCTCCCCCCGGAGGGAGGTGGAATGACAGGGGCTGGGGAAAAGGAGGGTGGAGCCGGAGATTGGGAAGGTTTGGGGGCTCACTTTTGGCTTTACGGGGGAAGGCGCGGAGGGTGCTGCGCGGCTGGCGCTGGTCGTTCATTTCCGTTTCGTTTCGTTTCGTTTCGTTTCGTTTCGTTTCGTTTCGTTTCGTTTCGTTCCGCCCCACTGTCCCTTTCTCTTCAAACTCGCAGCACAAATATTCTGATGCGAGCAAGCAACCTCTGTGCCTGGCAGATTCCAAGGCCTCAGTAAAATCAGAAAATTCATGTGGAGACATCGCATGACAGCCAAACTCCATATTCCATTTCCACCACCCAATTCTGAAGCTGTTCTTGTTTCGTCCTTGCGGATCACGGCGCGTTTACGCGCGAGCTCGTTATCCCAGCCCATGCAGCAGGTTGCGCCGAGAACGTCAACTTATTTTTTCCTCAACTAGTTATTTTCCTCCATGAGTTGACGGGCCGAGTTGGCCGTTCTCGTAACTCATTTCCCTCGTCTCGACGTTTATTCATCCAGAGGCCATTTTTATGGGACCATCGATTGCCGTCCTTAGCAAAGCGCTTCTAAACTCGGGGAATCTATGCGATCATTACGACGTCGGGGATGAGATAGGTCGCGGACAGTATGGGGTCGTGCGGGAATGTCGCGAGCGCGCCACTGGCCAGAGCTTCGCATGCAAGTCAATCGCAAAATCGTCGCTCGCCACACCCGACAGTCGCGAGGCCGTGCGACGGGAGGTTGCGATCATGCGACGGCTGGCCGGATGTCCCGGGGTCGTCTCGCTGGCTGGAGCTTGGGAAGATTCCCGCGCTGTGCATCTAGTCATGGACTTTTGCGCGGGTGGGGATCTGCTGCGCCTCGTAGAGTTGACGGACCACCTGGCGGAAGCTTGCGCGCGCGCGGTGTTCGCGGAGATTGTGCGAGCAGTGGCGGAGTGCCATGCGCGGGGAGTGCTGCACCGGGATTTGAAGCCAGAGAACGTGCTTCTATCGAGGCCAGTGCCCGACAATTCTGCCCTGATCGAACTCATTCAGTGTACTGTGGTGGATCACACGGTTCTTGGCGGAAACAACGGCGAGAGCACTGAACGCGATGCGACGGGAAAATACTCCTGCGAAACGGATTCGAACAACGGGTCGTTGGTTAAGCTGACAGATTTTGGGTTATCAATTATCGAAGCGGCAGACTATCGAGGCGCGAAAGAAGTCGCTGGGAGCGCCTATTATCTTGCGCCGGAGGTATTCTCCGGGCGCTATTCGTTTCCCGCCGACGTGTGGAGCTTGGGAGTGGTGCTCTTCGTGTTGCTCTCCGGTTGCGTTCCTTTCGGTGGCGAAGACGATGACGAAATCGGCGAAGCTATTCGCGAAGGCAGTTTCACTTTTGACGAGGAGAACGGTTCAGTTTGGAAGGAGGTCTCGCCGGTCGCGAAAGATCTCATCTGCTGGATGTTGGCGAAAGAGGAGGATCAACGGCCCACAGCAGCGCAAATCCTTTGCCACCCGTGGCTGTGTCCCACTACAGAAGCAACCTTCTACAGTGCAACTCTGATTCCAACTTCGACCACTGCCAGCAGCTGGGGGAGCAACGGCCTGGATGGTGCCTATATCGAAGGGCACTATGATGAAGCCATTTTGTACAGCGACTATTATCTTCCTCATCTGCTCAGCCATTCTATGCCTACATCGCCAACCACCAGCTACACGTCAGATCTCTTCTCCTCTCCCTCTTCTCTTGTACATGACGCCATCTCTCTTCTTGGGAGCTGGAGCAGCCTCCCGCTATTAGCCTCCCTCTCGGAGACTGAGATTCAGTTTAGTCACACCTCGCAGACTAGCGCCATGTTTACCCCCAGCTCTCCGGCGAAGAATCCTAAGTCTACAAGTGGCACAAAGAGTACAGCAGATTTGGGCAAGAACGAAGCGTTGACAACTGATGTGGACCCGGTTACTGCGTCACTGCAGACCTGTGCAAGCGAGATCCAGCATAAGCAGCAGCAGCAGCAGCAGCCACAGAAGCAGTTGCAGTCGGAGCAGAAGCAACAGCATGGCCACTTCTTCCTACCACAATATGTGGGGTGGGTTGGAGGGGGGCTCTTGTTTTAACCCACCCCCAGGGGCCCCACCAGCCCTCTACATACCATCATTTCAGTCTCTCCTGCACCCGATTACTTGGAGCACTTGTATTACAGCCACAGGGTTGCGAGAGTCTCCCCAATAAAGCCTTCTTGCTGCATACTTGACAGCAACAGCAACAAGCCACAATGGAGCTCTGAGTGGGTGGCTTGGGAATAAGCAACTGTGTTGGAGGGCAACACGCATGTTGCAGTTCACTCTAGTGGTATCTGCATATTGTTGTCCTCCTCACTGTCAATGTATGTATTTATTAACGAGTGTAATAATTTCCCCGTACAACAATCCAAGGACCATGCGACATTGCATAGGCACACTTACCGTGGGATTATCCTCAGGTGCAACTCAAATACAGCAGCTAGAAAAAAAGGTTCATTGTCTGTGGAATTTAGATGTGATGTGCAGCATGATTCACGAGCTAATGAAAAAGGGTTGATATCGGCTCTTTATCAGGCATAGTCAGCCGGACGAGGACGAGGACAAATATCCCCATACAAATATTTGTCAGAGCTTTGCTACAAGAAAACACTGGCCAATGATTTTTTTTCTAGATTGGAATCATTGTTTTGTATCATTTGTTTAGCATGATTGTTTCTCAGAGCTCTGTTTGGGTCATGAGCACAAACAGAGAAACGCTGTTATGCATTTCATGTATTAATACCATAACAGGATTACATATTACCATTCCCCCATGTAGACTTCGCCAAGTGCGGATCTGGTGGTAATCCACGCCTTCTAATGATTGTTGGAGTGCGAGTTACCACCTTGAGATTTCGTCTCATCGGTCGCCAATCGTTGTTTGCTCCTTCCCATCTTTCCCCGCCGATGGGCCCTCTCCCCCTGCTCGTGTTTTCCCTGGCACATCTATCCCGCAAATCCCCCGGATGCCTCCCCCAAATCCTCTCATCGCAATTTTCCCCTCCCCCCCCTCTCAACCCCTCTCCGCCAAGTCTTCCCCCTTCTCCCATCATGCTCCCATCCCAACCCAAGCCCGAGTGAAATAAATTCCCCCCCTCCCCCCCCCCACCACTCTCCTCCCCCTTCCTCTCCCCCATCCTCCCCTTCCCTTCTCCCTCTCCCCTCCCCTACTATTCCCCCTTCCTCCCCCCCCCCCCCCCCCGTCCATACTTCTGTCCGGCAAGCTCCAGGCCTCCCTCCCCAGCCTCAGCCTCAGCCACAGCCTTTCCCTGTGACCTTGCAGCAGCATAAACGCCTCTTCGCCTTTTTCCTTTCTCCTTTCCCAGCAAACCCTTCTCCCCCCCTCTCCGTTCGCCCTCCCTGGTGCGTTTCCAGCCATGCCCTAGCGCGAGACTATGTTTCTTAGGTTTAGTACCCGTGCTGCGATGGGGCCTTGATTCACGCGATTAGAAGCTATGCATTATGCGGGGCAGTCTGGTTTTGATTAATGAAAGCCGTTGGTCGTTCGTTGTTGTACCGTCGGGGCTGTACGTTGGGTCGCGAGGGTTTGCAGGGTAGATCGAGGAATAGCGCAATTGATAAGGAGTGTCTTCATAGCGCGTCGTAGGCTTGGAGATGCGCAGATGGTCGATTCTTCCTTTGATACCACCAGTTATCTAGGGTCGGCTCGAGATTCATGCGCTGTATTCTGTCTGTAGCGACGTGAGAACTTTTGCTATTTTGATGGTTGCGGTTCGGCTACGTCACGCACTCACGGCATCGCGTCCTCCTGAATTCTCCCCCTTTTTTTTCCTCCCGAACCCCTTCCAAACTCCGTTCCCTTTTTCAATCCACAGGGGAGGAAGTTTTTTCTCTAAAGCCGCGAGCAGATTTGTTAGAAGCGGCAGATAGCGTGACGCCGCCATGGTGCGACACAACAACCAGGTGCCGAATGCGCACTTCCACAAGGACTGGCAGTCGTACGTGAAGACATGGTTCAACCAACCCGCCCGCAAGAAGCGCAGACGGATCGGTGCGTGCGTGCGCAATCGATGTTTACGTCAATTCACACCCTTCGCACTCTCGTATTCTAGTTCTGCCTTCCCCCCCCCCCCCCCCCGTTCCCGCCCACTCGTCGTTCCCGCCCGCTTCCCTTTCCGTTTCTCCGTCTGTCTGAACGGCGAGGCCTAAGAGCCGATGCATATCGTCTCCCCGTCTCTTTCCAATTCACTCCCCCTCCATGTTCTGAGCCCGAATGATATGGTTACACGCCTTGATCCCCCTATCCCCCTCCCCCGTCTGCTCCCCCGCCCATCGAAAAGCGAGGTAGAGTAAGGCCGCGAGCTATTTTCTCGGCTTTAAAGCGTTTTAAAGCTCCATATCCGTGCTCTTTTCTCCCTCCCGCCCCTCCTTCCCCATTCCCCTTCCCCTCTCCCATTCCCTCTTCCGCTGCCCCCCTGTTCGTCGAGCAGCGAGGCAGAAGAAGGCCGTGAGCATCTTCCCGCGCCCGACGGCGGGGCCGCTGCGGCCGGAGGTGCACGCGCCCAGCATCCGCTACAACTCCAAGATCCGCGAGGGCCGCGGCTTCACCCCCGCTGAGCTCAGGGTGCGTTTTTTGCCCTTCTTTTCGCTTCCCGGCCTCTTTCTTTGTCTTTTCTACTATATTTTTCACCCGCGTCTGTCTCCCCGCCTCGCTCGCAAATTCGTCGGTAACGCAGTAGTGAGTACAGCGGGCTCAAACAGGACGGAACGTGTCCCCGTTCTGGTGATTGGATACCGGGTATGCATGGTCTGGCGGCAAGGAGTGTGGCCTTCCGCTGCTAAGAGTTTCCTATCGCTGTGCAACTATTAGAAGTAACCTTTGCGCGGTTGCTTGCGTCTCTTGCAACGACTCGCTAAGGCTAGGCAAGCGTTCGAATCACGTCTTGCTGTAGCCAGGCTGTCTGCCAGGCTGTGAGATAGGTGGATCGCGGGAGAGCCTTACTCGTACCGAGTCGTTGTATCCCTAGTGTTTGTTGGAAGCGTTATCTTCGCACAGCGTTGCGAGTGTTGCGTAGGAGGCACTTTTCTTGAAGCAAGGACGCCTTAGAGACTTGTACTGAGATTTAGTTGCAACCAACCCTGGGGGAGTTCAGACTCGGGTAGCTTGCAATTCCGTGTGGTTCAGCCATTTCCTTTCTCTTTTATTAATCCGTTTCTCTCGTCAAACTCTCTTTACCTACCCTTCCGCCCATCGTCTCCCGCCACCCCCTTCCGACCACCCCCTTGCGCGCGTGCGCAGGAGGCGGGCATCCCCATTAGGGTTGCGCGCACCATCGGTATCTCCGTGGACTCGCGCCGCCGCAATCGCAGCCTGGAGAGCCTGCAGGTGAACGCCGCGCGTCTCAAGGCGTACAAGGCCAAGCTCGTCGTGTTCCCGCGCCGCTCCAAGAAGCCGAAGGTGAGGTCGCGTGGAGGATAGGGGAGGGTGGGGAGGGCGGGGAGAGGGGAGTAGAGTGGAGGAGAGGAAGCAAAAGGTGGTCGTTGGAAGAAGAGTAGGGTGTATAGGGGAGTGTAGGAGAGTAAAAAAGTGGGAAAGGGTGGTGGGGTTGGGATTTGCAGGGCGGGAACAGGGACGGATATGGTTTGGGAGTTTGTCAGGATGCGAAGGCCCGTGCGACGGCCTGAGAAGGGGTTCATTGGCCTTTTTGTGTCTACTTTCATTCTTATCGACTGTCTGCTTGTCTGTCTGATTGTCTGATTGTCTGTCTGTTTGACTGTCTGAGTGGCTCGCCTTTGGGTCATCGATGTCTTCAGACGTTATTCATCTTCCCATTTCGGTCTTCCCCTCTTTGCCTGGTCTTTGCACTCAAATTGGATCTGCATCCCCCCTCACCTTATCCCCTCTCCCCTCTTACACCCACATACCTGTTTGCGAGGCGTGTTTATGCACAAACCGTCCGGGCTCCTCTCTCATTGACCCTTCTTCTTCCATTATCTCCCTCCCCCTTCCCCTTCCCCCGGAACCCCCCTCCGTCTCCCCCATCCGCCTCCCTCCCTCCGCCTCCCTCCTCCTCCCTCGGTTTTCCTCCTCCGCCTCCCCCCTCCGCCTTGTCTCCGCCTCCCACTCTGACTCCCCTCTCCGAATCCCAACTCCGCCTTGCGCCTCCGCCTCCCCACTCCCCTTCTCCCCCCCCCCATCTCTGCAGGCTGGCGACGCCTCGGCCGAGGAGCTGGCAGCCGCCGTGCAGCACGTGGGTGCTGTCCTGCCCATTGTCAGGCCGGTAAAGGACGTGCCTCTGGAGGCCATCACAGAGGAGCTGCGCTCAGTCAAGGCGTACGAGACTCTCCGCCAGGAGAGAACCACCGCCCGGCTTGCAGGCATCCGCAAGAAGCGCGCTGCGGACAAGGAGAAGGAGGAGAAGAAGTAAGCGGTGGGCGTGGGAAGAGAGAAGCGCGCGCGTGGTGGTGGTTTGGGTGTGGATGGTGGTGGTTGTGGGTAGCTGCAGTGATGGCGGTTGTAGGGTGACTGCTGCTGCAGTTGCTTGGGCATCGGCTGCTATCAGTAGCAATGCCGTGGGCCGCAGGAGCTTTGAGAGGAAAGAGCTGAGTGTGTGGGTAGGGGAGGCAGCAGGAGCAGCAGCTGACCTTGTTAATGTGTAGTTGCCGTGTTGCTTGCTGTTTCCAACTGTGATGTCTGAAGTTGAAGCACAAAAAAATCAGCGTACACCCTGTTGGAATCAAAAAGTTGATCACCCTCAGGATCACCTCAGGAAGGTTCGCACAGTCCTAGTCTAGTGGTGGTGGGCCCTTGACCTCAATAGCAGAGTGAATGTAAATGCTTGAGATGATTAATAACATGCAGTACAAGGAGTATAAATATGAGTACAGGGGAATTCGAAACGACCTAATTAGCCATGTACTCTAAGGGGTACATTCCCTTATTACAGCGAAATCCAACCGTGCGACTCCGGGTGGTTACGAAACTGTTCGGGCAGAATCCTCGCCACTGCTGCTGCCTGATGCTGTCTGCCCGACGGTCCAGATGCTCCTCGTAACCGCCTGTCCCTTCGCATTTCTTCTGTCTTTTCGTCTTCGCTCTCGATAGTGCGTGCTTCGGCTGTGCTACGGTGAGGAGTGCTCAATAGTGTTTCCACTAACCACTATTCGTAACACCCCCCTTCACTCCTGGCCGTAGCGAGCATTGACTCGCTTGACTACCCCGCTGAGTTCGGAGCAGTGCTGGTACTGTTGACGCGGCAGTTTCTTCGTGAGGAAGTCTGCTGCCATGTCACCCGTTGGGCAGTATGTCAGGTCAACTTTGCCCTTGTCAACTTCGTCCTTGACGAAGAAGTACCGCAGTGCGATGTGCTTGGTGCGGTTGACGAAGCCAGGTTTGTTCGCGATCCTGATCGCGCTCTGGTTGTCGCAGTGCAGGCGAAAATTCGTTGAGGCCGGAATTTTCGCTTCCTGCAGCAGTTCCTGAAGGTAGAGACCCTCGCGAACAGCTGCTGTTGCTGCGATGAATTCAGCTTCTGCTGATGACAGGGCAACCAACTCCTGCTTCTGAGAGTTCCAGGAGATGGGGCCGCTGGGCTCGAGGCGGAAGAGGAACCCTGTCCTGGACCGTCGATTGTCAGGATCAGCGGCGTGATCGGCATCCACGTAGCCGACGAGGCTGAAGAATGTGGTTGGGATGGTGGAATAACTGAGCCCGACATTGGGCGTGGAGATGAAGAATTGAAGGGCTCGCTGAAGATCTGAGAGATTCTCAGCCGTTGGTTTGCGTGAGTACTGAGCCAACTGACTCGCAATGTAGGAGAGATCGGGCCTGCAGGTGACAGATGCGAAGAGCAGGCATCCCAACTGCTGATGGTAAGTGTGAAGCCCAGCAGGGGACAGGGCTTTGTTGTCAGGCTTGTGGTTGGGTCCTGGAGTGCGGTAAGGGGTGGAGAGTGGTGCAGGCGCAATGTTGAAACGCTTGCTAAGCTCCTCCGCATACTTCGCCGCTGAGAGATGAATGGCTTCCGGCGAGTAGGTGATGTTGAGTCCGAGAAACTGCTTCACGTCATGATTGCAGGTAATGTCAACGCGCCCTGCGAGGCTCTTCTCGAATTGCTCAAGCAGTTCGTTGCTTGACCCTGTGTAGAGGAGGTCGTCGACATAGACCGTGAGCAGGATGTATTCGCCGCGGAAATCGCGGCGATACATCCCAGGATCGTGAGGCAGCTGCTTGAACCCGATTTCAAGCAGTATGTTGTGCAGGTACTGCTGCCAGAGCCTTGGTGCCTGTTTGATCCCATAGAGGGACTTGCGTAGCTGACAGACGCGTGGGTCTCCGTCGCCGTATGTGTGTGGCTGTTCCACGTAGATCACGGCGTCCACTAACGCGTACAGGAACGCATTCTTCACATTGATCTGCCGGAGTGGCAGGTGACGTGCGGCTGCGATGGCGAGCAGAATTCTGACGGACGTGTGACGGCTGACCGGTGCAAATGTCTGGTCGAAATCAATCCCGTGCCTCTGATCGTAGCCACGCACCACCCAGCGCGCCTTGAATCGCTCAATCGTCCCGTCAGCTCCTGTTTTCACGCGGAAGACTCATTTGCCGGAGAGAATCCTTCTCCCCTTAACTGCTGCACGGTCGACGAGCACCCAGGTGTCGCGTGACTCGAGCGCGCGGATTTCCGCATCCATTGCTTCGCGCCACTCCTTGCTGTGTGGGCCTGTGAGAGCTTGTCGTGGGTTCTTAGGTTCGATGATGCGCGGAGCGGTGGAGATGGCAGCGTGAAGTCCCAGGAGCTGAAGGTCAGTGACGGTGCTGTCATGGCGATGTTGGGTGACGACTTCCTGTACGTCGTCATCATCGCCTTCTGGTTCAGGCGGTGCTGGTGGTGCTGTGTCTCCGTTGCTTCCGCTTCCTCCTGCTGCACCTCCTCCCGATGCGCCCGTTCCTCCTTCTCCTGAATCATCGTCATCGTCATCACGGCGATCGCCCCTCGTGAACTCCCCTCTAGGATCCTGCTCCAGAATTGCTGCTGCTGCTTCGTCCTCAGGTGAAGCGTTGCTGTGGCCCTCATTGACGTAGACGCGGTTTGCGTTCGTCTGCTCGTCGTCACGGAATTGTTGCAGAAACAGCCGCTCGTAGAAGATGACGTCGCGCGCGTTCTTGATTTTCTGGCTCAGGAGATCCAGGATGATCCACGCCTTGTGTTCGTGGCTGATGCCGAGGTGGATTCCCCAGCGCGCGCGGCTCTTAAACTTCCCGATGGTTGATGTTGGCGGTCGGTATTGAACCATGCACCCCCAGACGCGGAGCATGGAAGTGTCGCCCTTTCTTCCCGTTCATTTCACATGCGGCGAGGAGTTGCCGGTGATTGCGGTGGTTGACAGCAGGTTGTGCACCCGCACGGCGTGGTGCATTGCGTAGGTCCAGTAGATCGGCGGAAGTTTCGCCTGCCGCATTAGCGCCCGCACCTTCGTCATGAGGGTGCGATTCGTGCGCTCAGCTACGCCCTGCTGCTGGTGCGCGTAGGGGAGAGAAACGTGATGCTCGATCCCCTTTTGCGCAAGGTAATCCTGCAGCTCCTTGCTTCTGAATTCCGCCGCACCATCGGACTGCCAGATCTTCAATTTCTCCCCAGATTGCCGCTGCGCGTGCGCCAGCCACAAGCGGAATGCTTCGTAGGCTCTGCTGCGTGCTTCCACGTTTACGACCCATACGTGGCGTGTTCCGGCGTCGACGAAGGTGAGTGTGTAGAGCTCGTCGTTGATGCCGCAGTGTCCTACGTTAAGAAAGTCACTGTAAACCTTCTCAAGTTTAGCGTAGCGATTGGTTCCCGGCTCGAGTAGGGGGAAGGGCTGGTGACTCAGCGCAGCTTCGGGGCAGACAGTGCAGCTGCGCGGGTGAGTTTCTCCTCTCACTTCGGAGCCGTCAGGGCGCAGCAGCGCGCCAGGTGCAAAGACGCCGGCTTCGATGCAGTTCTTCAGAGTCACGCACGAAGGGTGACCTAGGCGCTGATGCCAGATGGCATCGTCGGCGCGGAATCCGGAGGTGCGCATGTAACGCGCCAGTGCAGCTGCGGGGTCTTCGTCAGGTGCCGGTGCAGGTAAAGGCGCTGCTCCCTCGTTCTCTTCTTCTTCCTCGTTCGCCGTCGTTAGCATGAGGGCGAGAAATTCTCTGTCGCGGATGATGGAGTAGGGGATGTTGGTTCCAGGGATCGTACCAAGTATAAATGTCGGTTCGCGCGGTTCAGGGGCACGTCCGTAGACAGTGCGTCGCGGGGTGAGGGGTTCACTACCCCAGTCGATGGTGTCCCAGGGGTCACTTCCTGAGGGGATGTCAGGTGGCGGTGGTCCTAATGCAAGGCGGCGCGGAGGGCGTCCAAGAGGAACAACAGGAGGCTCGGCCTCAGCTTGCGGTGTTTCTTCTTCCGCTTCTGCTTCCCCCCTTTGGTCCTCGCGGAAAGCTCCCCATCCGCTCGTTTCTCCGCCAGATGCTGCGCCCCATCCGCCTGTGTTGCCGCCGGTTGCGGCTCCCCAGCCGCCTGTGCCCCAGCCACCTGTGTCGCCGCCGGTTGCGGCTCCCCAGCCGCCTGTGTCACTTGTTCCCCATCCGCCAGCGCTCCCCCACCCCCCTTCATTGGAGGCGCTTTCCTCGTCCCAGGCGAGCGTTCCGCGTGCCTCGGTGAGGCTCTTCTGCCGAAGTTCTTCGGCTTCTTGTTGCGCCAGCGCCTCTTCCTCCGTAGGCGAGAGCCGTTGTTTTGAATCGCGCCGGTGAGAGTATATCTCTGCCGCCTTCTGTTCGGTGTAGGGCCGGGGATTCCCATGTGCGTCGAAGGTGCCGACGCCAACGCCGCGGAGCATTCCTTGGAGATGCTGGGATGCGGGTCCGGGAAGAGGGTGTTCCGGTGTGCCGAATACGACCCGTGTAGCTGTTTCCAACTCCAGCTGGGATAGACCCTCCTCAGGTGGTGCGTCGCGCTCTGCTTCGCGAATGGCGGCGAGGCCGCGGCCGGCGATCGCGCTCGTCGAGGTCGTCGGTGTGTGGCAGTCCCTGCAGACGCCGTCAGGATCGGGGTCGTGCAGCGCCAGCTCGCGCGGGTGTGGGTGGTGTGGCACCCAGGGGCGCCCATCGGGGTGCTTCCAATCGCGGCGATGGCTGTGTTCGAAGCGCAGAGGGACAAGATCGATTAACTCCTGCGAGTCGCCACTGCAGTCGGGAATGCCAAAGTCGAGAACGTAGACGCCGTTCTCGGCGCGCGCCCGTCCGATCTGCTTGCGCGTTTTGTTCGGCATCGTGAAGTGAAGCAGGATGTCGCGCGTCTCGGGGTCGGTACTGAGAATGACTCCGCAATCCAGGAGTTGCGCCGCCGAGAGTAGATTAAAGCGCAGGTTCTGCACAATCAACACGTCGTTAAGTGTGATGTGC